GCGGGGGCTCCGCGTCACTGCAGGCTGCGCGCTCGTAACTCCCGTGTTATCCCGGGTTATCCTGGTTTATCCCGGGATCTCTTCCCCCTTGGGCACGCTTTGGCTTGGCTCAGAGCTGCGGGCGCATTTTGTTCATCCCCTATTCACGAAGGCCGTTTACGCTCAGCTCCCCGCGCAAGCACCGTTGCCCGACTGCCCCTTGCAGCGGCGCTACGCAAACCGCGTACGGCGCCCGTCCCTTGCAGCGGCGTACGCAAACCCCTACGCAAAGCGCGTACGGCGCCCGTCCCTTGCAGCGGCGCTACGCAAACCCGTACGCAAAGCGCGTCCGCCGCCCGTGAGGGGCGCGGGGGAGGATGGTGGTGGTGAAATGGCCGCGGGAGCAGTGGGGAGGGAGAAGGAGCGGCCTGAGGCCGGCACCGGGCGCTGGAGACGCCGCGGCGCTCGGTGCCAGTGCCCGCGGCCGCCCTTCCTCTGCAGCTCCAGGCTGCGGCCGGCGCCACCGCCGGGCAGCGATGACCTTCCCGCGGGTCCCACAAAATGGTGCCCGCGCCTTCTCCCTCAGGCGCTTCACGCCAGGGGAGTCCCCTCCAGGGACTTCACGGTGGTTTTCTCTTTTTTTCTTCTTCCCTTTAACCTGTCCAGCTGAATCGATGCTTTTTCATAAGTCTAGAGTGAAAAATGAGAGCAGAGACATTAATTCTTTTAGTTTGGAGAATGCCCCAATTACTTGTGCTGGGCTTTGGTCCCTCTACTACAAATTTCCCTTCATTTTCCTGTCTGTTTTGGGTGTCTTTCTGCCGTGTATGTAACTAATCTGACCATGACTTCCCTGTTCACCCCGTCCCCATGGCCAATCTGTTCATGGAAAACAAGCTCTGTGTTGCCCAAACGCTCCCAAGTAAAGGCTGTGCATGACCCAGAGTAGCAACTCCCATGCAAATAACATTTTATTACAATTTAACAAAAAAACCTACAAGATATACAAGGGGAGATAAGGTAAAAGTCTGGATTTGGGCTAAGTACAGAGTTGACGTTGCCGAAACCAAATTGCTCACATTTGTCAGTTTCACTACCTTAGAGTGTGTATTTCTAAGCAGTGTTTGTTTCAAATTCCATTCAGCAATGATATGGTATTCAATTTAAACTCAGCTGGTGTTACCACCTGTGTGTTTTACAAACTAAAGGCCAAAATGGAAGGAGTTGGCACTGGAGCAAGCAGCAGCTGTCTAAAATCTGCAGCCTCAGATCTGAGGGCATGAGAGAGCAGGGGGAGGCTGCAGCGCTTTCAGAGTTCGTGAGGATGTTTATTAAGAAATGCCACATCATGTGGTGGAATCCACATCCCGAGTTGTCACAGGCTTTTTCGTAGATGTATTAGGCAGCTGTGTGGCTTGAATAAACTTCTGCCATTCCAAACTTCCCTCCTGGATACAGAACATCCCAGAACTCTGTGTTTGTACAGAGGACTCTGCCATGGCAACCGCACGCACCCAGTTTCTCCTGTGTGGCTGATCAGCCCAGCTCAGTCTGGCCTCAGTTTCTATTTTCTCTTCTGTTTCTCCGAGTGTGGGGCAGATTGAGTTTGCATTTCTTTTAGCTGTTCTAGAAGGATGTAGGAAATTTTGTGTAGAAAGAAGTCTTGTGCTGCTTTGTGCGGGAGAGAATTCCAGTTAGTGTGCCTCTCTTCACATCTGGATTATCTCTAATCCATCCACTGAAACTGCCCTGCACAGATCTGTTAAATCATCCTATACCCATCCTGCAAATCCAAAACTAAAGCTTTTATTGAAACCTTTATTGGTACCTACACCTCTATGTGTAAGAAAGTTTTTAGAGCAATTTGTAATCATTACCTGGAAGCAGATGAATTATTTGTGCCATTATTGACCTGGCCTTCATTCCCCAGGCTCTGCTCTGGGCAGGATTCGGGTGTGCAGGCTGGGAAACCTCCTTCCCTCACCTTGGCTCACTTCTATTTTTCTCTGTCGAGAGCCTTTTCACAGCTGTTTTCAGCACTGGAAAAATTGGAGGAAATGTTTTTTAATGTATCATGAAATGTTTTGTAATTTCTCAGTGGCTGCCAGCCAACTATAGTATTTTTTTCAAAGCCTTAAGTTTCCTTTGACATGGGGGAACCCATCTACAAGTTTGGGTTTTTTTTTATTTTAGCAGCAGAGGAGGGACTTCTGTAACAGTCTTGACTTGGTATCTTGAGATATTTAGGAGTATCCCTTTAACGGAGGTAAGTAAGGCCGAGCTCCCGAGAGGAGCTGGGGAGAGGCCCTTGGTTTCCGGTTACTGGGAGAAGCGCAGTGTCGTGGTTTCGCTGGGTTATTGCCGGTGGGGTTCTCCAGGCCGCCCAGCACAGCTCCTGCCCGGGTGTGGGCTCGGGGCCCGCGGCTGAGGCCGATGCCCCGCTCGGACCGAGCTCCTTTGGCCGCCGGGCCGTGAGGGGAACTGCGGCCCCGCCCCGTCAGGGGCAGCGGGGCGGGAGCGCGGGAAAAGATTCCCGCGCTGCCTCGCGCCGCCGCGACGCACCGCCCCGGGAGAGCTCGCGCCCAATGGGCGACCGCCTTACAAAGCTCCTCCGTGCGGCCGCAGAGAGCCGCGCGCTGATTGGCCGCGGCGCCGGCGGTGCTTCCGGCCATGCTGCGCCGGGCGCGATTGCATCATGGCGGGACGGAGGTGAGCGGGGCGGCACGGCCGGAGCGGCCCTGCCCAGACCCACCCGAGCCTCGGTGCCTCCCGGCCCGGCCAGCCGGGCTTGGCTCATGCAGGCGGCGGCAAGCTCCGAGACGCGAGGGCGGGCCGGCTCCAGCGGCGTGCCGGGGCAGCCGGTGCTGGGCGGCACCTTCGGGGTGTCCCGGAGAGCGGCGGCTCCTGGCCCGGCCGTGCCTGTGCTGTCCCCGCGGGAGCGGGGTCCGGCCGGGCTGGCAGCTCCCTGCGGCCTTCGGCCTTGTTAGCTCGGGTTTTGTGTGTACGGCGTCGCGTTCGTGTGTGTGTGTTTTACTGCCTGGGCGCTGTACAGATCCTCTGCGTTTTCGGCAGTTTAGGGGGTAGTTATGGGATCTATAAAGGTTAGCCAGATGCCTTATTGCAGGGCTCAAGAGTTTGCATATCTTGGTTTCATTAGTTATTTATACAAAGAAGTTAAGGTCTCTTCAATGTGTAATATGTTTTAAGCATTCCCTTAAGCATCCTTTTAATAGGAGGGGTTGATGGATGCACCCTTGTTATTGCTGCAGCTGCGGTGGCTGGTATCTCCAGCAAACATTGGCTTCCACACCCCGGGAGCCTTTCGGAAACTTTAATTCGGCTTTGTGGTGACATGCTTAGAAAGCAGCTGTCAGGTAATAGAATCCAGTTGTCATATAAAAGCAGTGCTCAGTTACTCAGCTGACACTGGTTTCTGAGTTTGTATTAAAAAGACGTAGTTTAAAGCTATTTCAAGATAACCTAGATTTCTTTTTTTCACAATGACATGTTACATTTTTAATCAAGGTAGCATGATGACAAAAATTTCTTATGCCGTCACAAGATACAGTGTAAATGGGCTCCTGATAGCATGTATCTATCAACTTTTTGTATCTAAAGGCAGCATTAATTGATGAGTATGCTTACTGCTTTAGCAGTGTTTTAATTGGCCTTTCAGTGTTCAAGGAAACTCTCACAGGGGGACAGCTAGGCTAGTGTTGCAGTTTTATTCCATGTATAAAACACCAGCACAAGCTTTTTCAGAAGCAACATTTGTTCTGTAGTTCAGCATTCTGTTCCCATCCATTATTCCTTTTCCTTTAAACTTGGTTGTTTCCACCCCATCTAGAAATGGAAGATTTTGACTCTAGGGTGAGCAGTTTAGACTGATATTACCCCAGAACAGTACCTAAAAAGTACCTAAACAATACCTAAAAAGGCAGAAATGGGGGGCCAGGTGTGCATGGAAAACAGCATTGTTTAACTTTGGAGAAGGCACCCGTAGGAGGAGAAAGGAAGCTCCTTGTCTTTGGAAGGAATTTTGGTCTCTTTTACAGAATAGTTTGTGGGAGAAGGTGACTGGAATCAGTAAGACACTGATCATAAACCTCTGGAAATCAGAAACCTTTTGTACACCTTTAGTTCATCATGTGTATTTATACTTGCCATTTCTCTGTCAACGAAATGATTAATATCATGAAATCCACTTTGTTTAATCATATTCCTGATATATAGAAAGTATAACAATATTTCTCAAATGTGGGTTCACTTCATTCATAGTGGTGTTTTATTTGAATTTTTATTGTTTTTAATAAAAAAAAGTTTTAAGAAAAGCACATGAGAACTTGCTTTTATGGTTTTAATGCATGTTTTTTTTTTTCTTGTAGATAAGAAGCCCAGCTTAATTCTCAGACTGCTGTAGTACAATCTCCAAACTTTGACACCTTTGCTAGTGAATGTTGTTGTCCTCTAGAAAAGTGAGTGTACTTAATAAAAACTTGCTTAATGGTGCATTGTCTTAAACTCTAAGACTTCTTGTCGGCAGAAAATTAACAGAGAACCCTTCATGTGTTTACTGATCTCTGTAAATGTGAAGTGTTGTCTGAAAGTAGGGTTTTATTAGACATGTTTGTATAATTTCTGTAATATGGTTTGTGATGTTTTGCTCAGTCTGTGTTGAAGTAATGAAGTTGTCCATTATTATTTTTTGATTTAAAATACCTAAATTGCTTATAATGAGCTTTTTTTTCTGTGCTGTAGAGATATTTACACCTCTGTCTATAAAATGATTGTTAGAGCTTGGCTTTTTTTCTCAGCTGAGTTTGAGCCATGGCAAGATTTTCAACGTGCTTTTGCCTTTTAAGTCAGTCTGTTTAAAATTCTAGATTCTCATAAAATTCTGGTTTGTAACTTGGAAAAAATAATTGCTAGTGACGGTTGCATATTAATTCCCAAGAGTATATTCTCCCCCCTGCTTCTGCTGCAGTAAATTGGTGCTGTTGCAGAGGGTGTGGATGGTTTGTGCCCTGTGGTTGCTGGAGGCTGCTGTGCCCGTGCAGTGCTTCAGTCGGGAGGATGGGCCCACAGTGACTCTGTGACTTACGCAGGGAGGCTGTGACCCGTGAGCAGCTTCCTCAGCCCTGTCACAGGCACACCCCAAACCCCAGCCTGCCTCTGCTTTCTTCAGACCTGACAGCTGGCCACTCTCCAAGCCCTTTGCAGTTATCACTAATTTGGGAGGGCTGAGCTGGAGCTGAGTAGAACATGCACATCCTTAAACCTCAGGTCAGCTGGCTTGTGGGAGATAAAAGCTTTAAGGCTGAATTCTTTTATCATTTCCACTGTCTCTGTGATCAGATCACTGAGAAAGGACACAGTCTAATCAGTGCTTTGAGGCAGAATGGTGAAAACTCTCCTACAGGTTGTGTGTAGAGTAACTCACTGTGCTCAGGTTGGTTATTGCCTCTTAAAATACATCCAGACCATATTCATGTGTTCCTTGTCAGCCCCTGATTTCCCTTCCAAATGCTGTGATGCCTGTGCACCAGGTTGTGGGATTCTCAATTATAATAATATGATAAAGGATAATTTGGGTTTATTGGTGAAGAGGATGATTTGTCATGAATACAGAAGTGGTGGAGTTGGTCTGTAGAATGTTTTTTCATAGGGGTTCAAGCCTTGAGCTGGCAATTGTTGTGGCATTCTGAGTTCCATTTAAGCAAATGTTTTGGAGCTTCAGCTGTCACTGAAAGAATTGTCTTCGTGCATTTGCCTTTGTTGCTGCTTTATGGTTAGTACTTACAGACCTGGGTAAACACAAAACTCAAGCCTTGTGCCGCTACTTGCAATTCTCTAATGCTGAGTGAAGCTCAAGGCTGTAGTAGCTACTTCTGGTGTAAGTGTGATCAGGAGCAGCAGCACTAAAGTGAGAGGTGGAAGAACCCTTTCATTCTCTAGCATCATCTGTTACAACCTTCATAACCAATTTTCTCCTGTTAGGGAGCTGCTGTCTCAGACCACCCTTATTCCCCAGAGCTTTGTTTAATTCTTGCAGTGGCATTTTATGGAAATCTGACCCTTTTTCTATCTCATAGCAGGTCTGGAACCAGGCAACTGCCGTGTGTTCCTAATTATGTCGAGACTTCCTCTTCCCTGTGTTGCTTTTGCAGCATGGAAGTGGCCTGTTGGGACTTAAGTTTTAATGTATTTATAAAACTCATGTTTATCTTTGCAGTGTTTTTCAGCTGTGCTCTCTGCAGTCTGTTTGCTTTTAGGGGCATCTGAGATTGCTGGCACAGCCTGATGGAAAATGCTCTTTTAAACATCTAAGCAGTGTGAATAAATGTACAGTGAAAAGGAGCCCCTTCTTCAGTAGTTTAAAGTGAAACTCTCTGATACAAACTGGTGCTGAAGGGTCAGTTGAATTCAGAAGCTTTTCCTGAATAAAAAAACTCCAAACCTGAATCCAAAACATAATTTACCCTTTGACGGTTTTCTCTGGGAAACAGAAACAAAAACATGATAAAAAAGGGAACAATCATAGTTGAATGGAGAATCCTTTTCCTGTTCCAAAACTTTGGTATGAGTCAGTCAAAATTAGGCTTTTTTTTACAATGGAGTGCTTGCTTCCATGCCTGCAATGAATCAGGCTCTTTGGATTGGTGGCATGGATTTGAAAGATATAAGTTGTATATGTAGAGTTATTTTTTTCTCACTTCTATTCAGTGTGTATTTTTCTCTTCTTGATCCTTCTTGGGAAAGAATGGTTCAACAAGTTCCAGAAAACATAAATTTTCCAAATGAGGAAGAGAAGATATTGACGCTCTGGAAAAATCTTAATTGTTTCAAGGAATGCCTGAAGCAATCAAAGAACAGACCTAGGTAAGAATCTGTTACAAGCTGTAGCAACTGTGTGTGACAAGGGTTGGCTTGGCTGTAATTACTCTTTGTTTTTCCTTGATTCTGTAAACAGCAGCTGCTCCCTTTGCCAGCAGCAGGCCTGGCTCATGCTGCTGTCCCTTTATATTTCACTTGGTGAAGAATCAGCAGCGTTCAAACAGTTGTAATAAACCTGTAATTTCCTGCCTGGTGGGTTTGTAAGAGAAATGGGGAGGTAAGCAAGGAACTCTTCCCATTGTGGAGCGCCATGGGAATCCTGGTAGAATTGGCAGTGGTAGGAACTGGACAGGCTGGAATGTTCCTTCAGTCCCACTGCCAGCGTGGCACCTGTGCTGAGTGATTGTGGAAGAAATGGATATTTTCCAAGTGAAACACAAGTAGTATAAGCAATGGAGTCACCCTGTCTGAAGGCCTGCTGCTCAGTTTTTGCTTGAATGAGGAATGTTTTGTGTTGTAGGTTTAACTTCTACGACGGCCCCCCGTTTGCCACAGGGCTCCCCCACTATGGCCACATTCTTGCAGGAACCATCAAAGACATTGTGACCAGATTTGCTCATCAGAGTGGTTTTCATGTTGACAGAAGGTTTGGCTGGGATTGCCACGGCTTACCTGTGGTATGTGTCATGAATTTACCTGCAGATACTTCTGTTGGTTCCTCTTTCCCTGTTGTTCCCTGCTTATCACTCATATTTCTTTTGCTTTTATACCTGACATTGTTGCTAAAAGGGAAGTGGAAGTTCCTTGTCCAGTGTGTTTCTCTGGTTTTTGTGTGTGGTGAGTTCAGGAGCTTCCTGTTGGTCATTGCTATGAACCTCTATTTATTTGGGTCATATTTCAGAAACTGGTGTTTTGTTTATTTTTCTAAAGAAACTAAAGGAACAGTCACGCCAGGGTGAGCATTTGAAATCCCTGCCTAGTTCAGGTGCAGCTCTCGTGAAGTCTCAAAAGGTTATAGGAGGCCCCTGAGCCTCATTAGAATATATAGGACGGGTAAAGCATCCAGGGAAATCCTGAAAGCTTTTGATTGATGTTTTGTTTGCTTGTTTTCCATGCTCCCAGGAATATGAGATTGACAAGACTTTAGGCATTAAAGGGCCAGAGGATGTGGCAAAGATGGGGATTGCAGCTTACAACAAAGAGTGCAGAGGGATTGTGATGAGATACGCCAAGGAGTGGGAGGTGAGTGGAGGCTCAGTCCACCTTCTGCTGAGCATTTCTAAATGTGTTTGTGCAGAAGTGTTTCAAGTGGAGGAAACTTCATCCTTTTGTCTGATTATGTGCATAAAACTCTTGTCTTTAAGCTCCTGTGTTTCTCCCCTGTGATCCTGAAAGGGGAACAAAAAGAGCACCTTTGTGGCTCAGAGCAGACACTGCTGTGCTGTCCAGGGAAGGTTACTTGTAGGGTACCTGGAGCTCAAAGTGTCTAATGAAATACACTGAACACATAACAGATATGTTGAGCATTGTCTCTTTCTTTGTGTCTTCTCTTGTGTAGAAAATGGAAAGATCTGATTTTGGTTTTCTAATGGAGCTATTAAAGAAAATTAACATTAACCTCAGTGCTCTTTTGCTCCTCCTTCCCCAGTCTTTTCATTGCCATAGTGCAGGGCAGCAGCTTGTATTTTTGGAAGAGCAGAAATTCTCACATCTGGTTTTGTCACAAGAGGTGTGGGTAAACCCTCAGTCTTTCCAGAGAATATTGGTGTCAGCTTTGCATCCCAGGAATACTGGGAGAGTGTTTGTGTCTGCAAGTTTGAAGAATGGCAGTTCTCTAAAATTATTTACAATAAAGCTTTATCTTAACCATAATTTTTTTTTCCCTAGGCAGAACAGTCCTAATTATTTTAATGTTTTCCTCCTGCAAAGACTCTTCTACTTCATCACACTCCACTGCATGTTTCTAGTCCTGCTGTATTTCTTTTCATGGAAATAGGAGTTTCTTACTTGAGTATCACTTGCCTCTTGCCTTTGGGGGCATTCTGAAGTTTTGGCCAATGTCTGAAGAAACCAGAGGTGCCCTGGGTAGAGAACTGTGGCCTAAACCTCAGTGAGTGGCTGGATGGAAAGCAGAAAGTTTAGGGGTTTTTTTCATATTACACTCTTTAATGTTGTATTTCAAACCCATCATTGATAATTCTTTGTTGCTTTTAGAAACAAAAATAGCAAGATTCATTCTGGTTTGTTACAGTGGTATAACCCAAACTGGCAGCCAAGTACCAATGGGTGGAGATAAGAGCAGTTTAATTGAAACAAAATAAAATATTATAATGATGCTAATAATGATAATAATAATAGTAAAAGAGGAGAGAGGGAGGAATAAAAGCCAGGAAAACCAAGTGATACCCAGTCTGGCTGCTGGGTGATATCTAACCCAGTGATTCACAGCTCCTGGTCAGGTCCCCCCAGTTCTCTGCTGGGCACAGTGCTGTGCTATGAAATGTCCCTTTGGGCACTTGGGATCAGCTGTCCTGGCTCTTCTCCCAATCAGCTCCTTGTGCTGCTCCTGGCTGGCACAGCCTGGGAAACTGAGAGCTCCTTGCTTAGGGCAAGCACAACTCAGCAGCACCTAAGCCAGCAGTTGGGTTAACAGCATTTTTCCCATCCTAAATCCAGAACACAGCACTGTACCAGCTATGAAGAAGAAAATTAACTCTATTCCAGCCAAACCTGGAACATTTGCTGTTTTTTTCCATACCTTTTAACTTGCTGTCCTTCAGCAGCTGGTGTTTTTGCAGTGCTGGTTCATCCAAACACTTGATCTTTTGGGTGGTGAATGGATTTTGTATTTTGTTTTGTTCATAAACTTGTGCATGTGCGTGTGTATTTTAGATGATAAATAAAAATAATGACATTTGTTTAGATATCTTTTGACTTGTAATAAATTCAAATATTTTGGAATAGTGGTGGGAGAGGAATTGCCAACATTCCTGTTAGTGTTTATTTTCTGCCTGGAGTGTTTACCAAATTTGAGCCTTATCAAAAAAGAGAAAAGGTTCCTTGGCTGTGTGAGATCTTACAATGCTGAGACCAAACATAATGCTCCAACTTTGTGAATCCTTGTGCTAATCAGTCCTAGGCTATGGATCTTATTAGTGGAGTGTGAGAGTGGCTTAAAGGTCAGGATGGAAACTGATCCATGTCAGGAGCTCAGGTGTTGTGTGAAAATGTAGAGGTGAGGGAATGAATGTGTTTTGTGTTCACTTTGCTGGTTTGACATTCAGTGTGGGCTGTGTGTGACAGTGTCAGGACAGGTGTCCC